AAAAGGTCAAGCCTAGGGTGGCTTGGCCTTGTTGTGGGGCTGTTCTTCCTCTTGGACCCTGGGCCACTGTTGGCCTCTCTTGGCCATTTTGCAAGAACTGATGAAGTTTGAGGCCCTTGCCCTTTCAGGTCACCCGTTCTGGACAGGATATTGCCTTGCAGCTGTGCCAAGAGAATCCTTGTCCACAACCGCCTTCTGTCAGGGCTGTGACCCATGGAAGTGGAAGAGAACCATGAATTCGCATTTCTAGCATTGGCGCTTGCTCTGGAGGTTGTTGTGGCTTCTGTGCTCACGTCTCCTTGCTTAGTGCCCTGCCACAGTGCTGAGAAGTGGGCATCATATTGAGCAACTCAGCTCACACAGAGAGAGGGCCGAGCCATGATCCAGACAAGGTGAGCCTTGGCTTCCAACTTCTGTTTTTCCTTCACTCCACTGTTCTGAGACTTCCTGGCCTCCGCTGGCCAAGCAGAAGAGCTGTACTCAGGCTACCTGGGGATTTTCGGCATCTTCTCCTCATGTGTGGTCCCTGCAGCCTTGAGGTCCCAGAAGGCCAGCTCCCTTTGAGCATGGCCATTCCTCCCTCCCTGCCCTCTGGCTTCCCAGCCTAGCAGGTGATTCCTCTGCCCCTGGAAGTCTGTTCTCCTCAGAAGCTTGTAGAGCAAAGCTGCTGCACACAGACATTGTGCTGGCCTGGCCTTGTCCTGGGAGTTGGTTTCCCATCTGCATCAGGTGGGGAGAACACATTGCTCTGGTCTTTCTGCTCCAGGTACCTTTCTCCCCTCAGCATAGCCTTCTCACCCACTAAACACCCCAGCACCACTCACCATTGATTTGTTGCAGCCACTGGCTTCCTGGGCAAAGGCCTGGTGGGACATGGAGGCTTAGGCAGGACTAGCTCCTAGAAAGGTGGTCTTTGCTCCACCACTGCCTCAGACATACCATGCGCTCATTGGGAGGGTCTCCAGGGTTGTGTGTGGGTGGGGGTGACTGTGGTCCCCACTGGGCCTTGACAGCCCCAGCCCCTGCCCTCTTGGTCTAAACCCAGGAGGCAGAAAGGGCTTCAGGGTGGACTGTCCCTGCTGGTGTTATCCTAGGTAGCCCCCGGTCTGGCTCCCATTCTCTTGGTAGAGGGGTCATTTCCTGGATGTGTGTGAGAGCAAGGCCTGGGGACAGGTTAGGGGGCTGGGTAGGTTCCAGGAGTTAGGGCAGGCTTGTCCCCCCTGGGGGGATTCTGGGGAGAGCTAGGTGAAGGCTTGGGTAGGGGCTGAGGGAAATGATGGAAAGGGCAAAGCTCCTGATGTGGGGTTAGGCTGGGTGATCCACCTCCTCCCTGTGCTTCAGGTGCCCTGGGTCATGGGGGCTACAGGAGGGGAATGGGGGTGTCTTGTAGCCCTGGTACCTGGGTGCCTCACAGGGATGCCAAGAGTAGGGACAAGTGGCAGAATCACCAGAGGTCATAGAAAGACCTGCTCAGAGTGGACCCCACCTCCTAGTTTATGCCAAGTGCCCCACACAACCCTCCATCAGGCTTGGGAGGTGGGAGGGGAGCAGGTGAGCAGACAACCAGAGAGTTTGAAGATCACTGGCTCTTGGGTCTCCGCACTGCATAGTTACCTTAGAAATGCCTGGGCAGGAGCTGCTTCTGCTGAAGGGGCTACAGCCCCAGCCCTTATGCTTGGAAGTCCTTGGGAACAGAAGCTGTTTGTTTAACTTTGGGTGCCCCTACTCCTGCAAGGCCCCTCTGATACAGGTGCAGACCCTAATCAGCCAAAGGACAGAATGGGGAGCGCTGAGCCCACACCTGTCCCCACCACCTCAACAGCCCTCCCTAAGCCTCAAGGCCCGAGCAGGGGACCATGAATGGTGACGAGGAGGCACCCTTCTGGGCAGGGCCCAGAGTACAGCCCTGGCCAGCCAGTAGCATTGGAAGATGATTTTTTTTTTCATTGAGCTTATTGGTACTTTTTAGGAATACAGTCCAGTTACATACATCATTGGGATCTTGCACCCTTACCTGACAGGTCTTGGTTCTCATTTTCCCCCCATACCCCAGCCCTCCCTTCACTCCCTCCACCCTGGAAGGTGATGTTTTGATTAGCCAGGAAGGGTCTACAGAATCCTGGAACCACTGTATTTTAGGTAGGTCTCTTCCCTGCAGGTGACTCTGCATAGCCACTCCCTCTCACCCCATACCCCTGCCCAGTTGTGTGGCTGACCCTCATCCAAAGGCCTGGCTTGATCCCCTACTTCAGTGCCAAGGACCCCTTTCCGGGGTGTTGGTCAGATGGCATTGCTTGGCAATATCCAGCCTTGGTCCAAGTGCCTCTGTAACCTAGGGAGTGCCCTACAGCCTCTATCTAAACCCTCCTTGTATTGTTGAATCTGCCAGGCACTTGCTGAGCACCCCAGGGGAGGCTCCAGACTTCTCCTACCCACAGGGGGGATCTGATGGGGAGGTGCTGGAGGAAGCTAGGGGTGAGGTCAGCTTGTCTGTGGGCACTGGGCTCCCAATAAGATGCTAGGGCCAGTAGGCAGGGCTGCAGCTTTGGGGCCTCACAGACCAGCTGAGCAGTAGGGAGCCAGAGCCAGCTCAGGAGGGTGTAAGGAGCAGTCTTATTGGCTTTGGGCAGCTGGCTCTGCTCTGAAGGGGTGGGGCTCAGAGGATGAGGCTGGATGGTAAGGGGAAGGAGTCTAGGTTCAGCAGGCCAGGTGGGGTACAGTGGGGAGGCAAATCCCTGAGTATGTCTGTTGCCTTTAAGTACGTACTGTGTGACTGGCCTAAACCAAATTTAGGGATCTTATCACCACCAACACCCTTTCCACACTTTTTTTTCCCTGTGGTACTAGGGATGGAATCTATGCTAGAAAGTGCTTTCCCACTGAGCTATATATCCTTGGCTCTTTTTATATATTTTTTATTTTGAGACAGGGTCTTGCTAAGTCCAGGCTGGTCTTGAACTTGTGGTCCTCCTGCCTCAGCCTTCCAAGTGGCTGGGATTACAGGTGTGTACCACTGTGCTAGGCTCCATGCTCCTTTGAGAGACATGTTCACTGTTCCTCATTTCACAGGCAGGAGACGGGTGGGAGGTGAAGGGGCTGGGAAAGTCCATTCCTCCTGGCACCCTGACCTGAACATAGAACCCTCAGGTTAGCCTGGTGCCAGCCCTTGAGACTGGCTTCTGGCCGGGGGCGGGGGTGGATTACATGGGGCCTCTCAGAGAAGCCACTGAGGAGGGAAGTGTGGACAGAGGAGGTGGGTGCCTGAAGCAGGAACCCCTCCCTGGCCCCCCCAGCAGATGCTCCCGGCACCCAGTGGACATTACGGACCTCAATAAGGGAGCCCAATTTGGAGACAAAGGCCTGGCTCTGCAGACAAATACTCATGGATATTGTCAGCCCGGCCGCCAGGCAGGGAGGCGAGGCCCACAAAGGGCTGAAGAAAGGGGCCAAGGGAGGGCGCCTGAATGGGCCGGGGCTGCACATGCCACGGTTGCCCAGGCGACGGCCCTCTCACGGAGAGGTCTGCCGGGCCATTGTCCGGGGCCTGCAGGACGTGTCACACACCAGATGGTCGTGTGCTGTCTAGGTCACTTATCGGGGGACAGAGTGAAGGAATGTGGCCAGCGCGGCAGGCCGGGGCACCATCTGTTCCCTCAGACCGCGGGCACCGGGTGGGCACGGAGCACTCGGCCTGTTGGCCCAGCCTCCACTGCGGCTTTAATTAGCTAATTCCATAATTGGGCTTTATTTCAGGTAAATTGCATTTCACACCCGAGAGGGCTGCTATAGCTCCTCTTGGAGGGAGGCGCTTGGGCACTTTGTGCATGGCCCATAATGGCCAACAAAGCTTGGTGGGTGCAGGAGCCGTGCCCTGTCCAGATGGGCAGCCCCACCCAGGCCCCCGTGGGCTGTGGCCATCAGGAGGGCCAGCCTTCCAGCCAGAGGCGTGGGCGTCCACAAATATTTACCCAACAAGGGACAACAGTTCCTGGCTTCCATCATTTGTTTCCCCCCAATCTAGGGTGCTTGAGATCTGAGCTGCCCCTTCCTCCCTACTGGTTAGTGCTGGCCAGGCCACATGCAAAGACTTCATCTTGGGGAGCCCCTGGGAGGAAGAGGCCCTGGGGGCCTCAGCAGGAAGGGGGCCTCTGGGCCTGCTCTACCACCCAAACCTGTATCCCTTCTCCTGCTCCTGGCCACAGCTGCTCCCACAGACTCGGGGACAGCTCCATCTATGAGATGTCAGATAATGGGGTTCTGACGGCCTGGGGTCTGGAGGGAGGACGGGCGGGGAATACACTCAGAGGGGAGTGGGTCCAGCTGTCACACTGACCCTGGCCCTGTGTGTCCCTGTGAATGACCCTGGTTTTTTCTGTAGGTGGGAGTGGATGATGGGATGGACCTAAAGAGAGCGGTAGGCACAGTGCTGATGGGCTGGTGGCACCAGCTGGCACATGTCTCTAGCCCAGGTTGTCTGAATAAGCAGGATGGTGGAAGCCTAGAGGGAGTGGACTTTCTAGGCACTGGGTTAAGGGCCAGCCTGGCCTGAGAGGGCCTCTGAGGGTGGCTGTGCAGGGGTATAGTAGGATTGAATCAGCTAGGCTAAGGTGTGGAGCAGGTTCACCTGCCTGGTGCACAGGGTCTGCCAAAACACAGGAAAGGACTGTGCGATGACCACTAACCATGGGAGGCAGAAACTGAGGCCATCAGAGACCAGATCGGGAAGGACACAGAGCTGGGCTAGAGACTTCGATGCAGCCCACGGCCTTCCTGTGCTCTCTGAGTCTCTTGGTCATCTTGGTACCTGGATGGGAGGTGCTGTTCAGTGGCTGCCTGGGCACTTGACTCCAGGAGTCACAGGGGCTCTGCCCATAAGGGAGGTCATGGAGGATGAGGAACAGCTGTGTCTCTAGGCGAGCCCAGGAGGGGCCCTAAATTGTTCCAAAGATCCCATTGATCCCTCAAAATCAAGGCAAGGGCAGTGCAGAGATCATCTTGTGGAGCTCCATGTTTATTAGGGAAAGGCTGTGCGATTAATAATCAAAATCACACTGTGAAATTCATTAGAACAAGATTCCAAATCACCACAGATCATTCTGATTTCTCTGAGATGTAATGCCCAGAAGGAACCCATCCCATGTAGCAACTGTGACACCCTTTAAACTCTTCCATGGCTCAGCAGTTGGCTGAGGGGATGGGACAGCTCTCGTCCACGTGACAGCCTACCTGCTCAGAAGGAGTGAGGAGCTGGAGGAGGGGCTGCATGTAGAGCAGGCCAGGAAGGCCTTGCTCCCTCAGGGTGCAGGAGGGGCCATTGTTATTTGTGGTGTGCCCTGGGGAAGCCGTGACTTCAGGGCACTCTGGTGCCCTGCCTGCCCAAGAACTCAGCATCTCTAGAGAGGGAGGGAGCCAGGCCCCAACCCACTGAGCAGGCGTTTAGGCCTTTGCCATGGGCTGGGCCTGCCCTGCCCTGCCCTGCCTGCTCCTTGTGGGGCCCTTGGAACCAGCTCCCTGTTTTGGCCTTTCCTGTGTCTCCTCCCAGGAAGCCTACTGGCCCAACCATGATGGCCTCCCTTAGACTATGCTGTGTTCTGGCCATACCTGGGCCAGGTTGGGTGCCTTGGATGCATCTTGCCACTGGGTCCCAACCCCCTTGTTAATGATGTTGTCACAGTGACGAGGGTGCCAGCTCAGATCCGAGAAGGACCCCAGATTCAGCCAAGTTCTAGTACCCACTGGTGGGAGGAGGCAACTGTGGTGGGCCCCTGAGCTCAGCCTCTGCTGGGTGGTATGATCACAGTGTCCAGGCTTGGGGGGCCAGGCTGTTCTCTCAGGGACATCCGGGAAGTGGTCCTGGGCTGGCTGGGGCTTCCTGGGCCTCCTCTTCCAGGCCTGCCCCAGCCCCAGTCCCTCAGGATGCCTCATCGGGACCCCTTCGGGGCACAGTCAGCTGTTCATAGGTGGGCAGGGAGTTGCTGGGCAGGAAGAGCTCAGGGTGGATGGAGCCATCTTCGCTACAGGGCTGCACCACTTGGGGCCCAGCCCCACTGTGGGGGCCACCTTGGTGCAGGGAGAGCAGCTGGTGGAGCATGTCCGTGATGACCACCAGCCTCTGGTCCAGTTGTGTCACCTGTGGGGACAAGAGCAGAGTTGAGTTCAGGAACACAGCCCTGTGCAGCTTGCTTCAGCACTGGCTGGTGAGGCCTAGGAGGCAGGGTGCAGCTATGTGCAAGCGAGACCATCATGTGTCCTTGGTCACACCCCTGTGTGCATGTGGAATTCGTCTGTGTGTGGGATATGTGGCCTGTGTGCTGGGTTCCTGTGTGTGTCCAAACCTGTGGAACTGAAGTATACGGCTGGAGGTCATGTCCCAGCCCCTCCTGGACCCTCTGGCCTCTGCAGCTCTGCCTGGCTCTCTGGGGCATTGGGCATAGCAAGGTCTGCACCAGGGACCAGGACCAGGAGTGTTGGCTTTGCTATATCCTTTGGCTCCTTGGAGCCAGGATGGGGGACTTCTAGCTGGGGGTCACTAAAGGCCAGGAGCTGTGTCGGCTCAGTCTGGAGGACAATTGGAGACAGATGTGGGGATACAAGCTCATCAGGGCAGGCTGGGTATGGTGGGAGGCAAAGGGACAGCTGCCCAGCAGGTGCCTGGGAAGGTCAGGGGACAGAGGCCCCTGGGTGGGCCAGTGGGGGTGACCTGCTGTATCTGCAGGGAAGGACCTCTCCTCTGTCCCCTCCTCTAGGGCTTGGCCTTGGGGACTTTCTTTCATCTCCCCCAGGCTCCCTTTCTTGACTCACAGAGACACCACCGTCTTCCCAGACTCTATGAGTCAGGTCAGTGCCCGGAAGTTCTCTGTTCCCACTCACGTGGCTCTGCTACATGCCTGTCAAGGGCTTGTTCTGTGCTAAGCACTGGGGTGGCCAGGGTGAGGTAGAGGCAGAGAGAGGAGACAGGGTCAGGATAGGACATGGGTCAACCTGGCACAGAGTAGGTGCCCCATGGAGGCAATGGGATCAGAGAAGCCCTTGTGTGAACTGGGGACTAGGACACCAGGGGGGGAAGGCACAATTGTGGGACTAGAAGAGGCCAGCCACAGGTCAGCTGGAGGTGTGGGCCAGAAGGAGGTGCATGTCCAGCCATATGCAGTGGGCCTAGGAAGAGTACATAGGTCAGTAGAGATCTCAGCCACTGATCATAGGGCTACTGTTCAGCTAGCTATACCCAGGACACTGTTGATAAACAGATTCTCTCTCTTCTCCCACCACATGTACCTGGAGTAATGGAAACACCAGAAAGAGAGCAGGGAGATGATCAGAAAATTGTGACTTCCGGGTAAATACCATAGCAATGACTCCACCCTGGGGACTGAGTGTCTCTGGCCCTGAACACATGTGGCAGGCAGGTATTGGCTGTGGCCCCTGTCCATCTAGACATGCCTGTGTCATGCATGAGGTCTGTACACTGGGGTGCTCTAGGCAGGCCGGTGCAACCTCACTTGGGGCCTCAGCAGCTGAGCTGGCAGGCTGAACCCAGCAGGGCAGCTAGAGTCCACCTGGGGTACACGCCTGTGGGGTTGGGAGGCCCAGGGGAGATGCCGGTGGGTGATGTGAACACCAGCTTTGTGTTTGCCGGGGTCTACCTGGACCCAGACCCAGCCTCAGAGTATTGGTGCTGTGGTCACCAACCGCTCTCCTACCGCTGTGTCTCCTCCCAATGTGCTAAAGGGTAGGGGCATGTGCTAATGAACACTGAATTGGGGGGCAGGAGCCCAAGCTGAATGGAGGACTGAGAAGAGCAGTCTTTCCTGGGTGGGGACAGAATGCCTGTCCTAGCAGCCAGAAAGGCTAGGTGGGCACCTTCTGCCTGTAAGGTGGGGACTCTTCCCTCCCTCTCCCCCCACTTTTTTGAGACAAAGTCCTTTTATGTGGTTCAGGCTGGTCTTGAACTCACTATGTAGCCCAGGATGGCCCTGAAGTAGAGATGATCCTCCTACCGACCTCAGCCTCCCAGGCTGGGATTTTAGGTGTTTGCCACCATGCTCAGTTTGTCCTTCCTTCTCCCCACACAGATTGGATGTGGAAGCACAGGCTGCCGTGGAGAGGAGTGTCAGGGTGCTGGGACCTGACTGAGTCATCTCTCAGTGGTCCCTACCAGGTGCCAGCTACCAGCCTTGTTCTCTGCAAAGTGGCCGAGGGTCATGTGCAGTCGACACCCCACAGACAGATACTAGGGCCCAGAGGAGAGGTCTTGCTCAGGGTCACTACTGGGACCACGTCAGCCTCTACCCCAGGGCTCCATGCCAGGGCCACAGTGCTGTCAAGAAGGGGGACAGCAATGTCAGGGCAAGGGCATGGAGCAGAGCATGGGTGGTGCCCAGCAGTGGTGAGGTGGGGGTGGCCTGTGGGCAGGGGGACTGGACTCTGCTCACCAGCCCCCTCCCTGGTCCAACTGCCTGCCTGTAGCCTGAAAGGGTCATGGGAGAGCATCCAGCTTTTGGGATCTGCATGGGGAAACTGAGGCCAAGGCACCTTCATGCAAAGCAGATCGAAGCCAGGCCGGCCCCTTGGGGTAAAAGCTGCTTTCACCCCCCCCTCCCGGGCCAGGACCTCTCCCTCGAGAGATGGATCTCAGCCTGGCTTAATGTTGCTTAACCATGGAGACCCCAACTGGGGTATTGATTGGCTTGGTATCAATTAAAGCACCAAATACGTCACAGAAGAAAATTTCATACATTTTCACTTTGTGGCCCTTGAACATCTGTTGAAACCCAATGTGCTAAAGGGTAGGGGCATGTGCTAATGGCAGTGAGGCCTTTATAGGGCATGCTTGGGAAAGCAGAGTAGGAGAGTAGCTGGGGACAGTCAGGGTGTGGGGCTGCTGGGTGTGGCAAGGGAAGGGGTTGTCCTGAGGCATCAGGGGTGATAGTATCCCCTAAAGGCAGCCTAACATCACGTAGAGCCCTGCTCAGCTCTCTGCAGGAAAGAGCAAGAGCCTAGCAGCACACCTCTGAGGTGAGCACCACCGCTGCCACTGAGGAGTGTTCCTCAAGAAGCTGATCTGCCTGGGCCGGTTTCCAAGTCATCAGAGCCTCCATGGCTGCTGCCTGGGAGGGGTTCATCAGTGTCTGGCCCCAGGGATGGCCCATTAGCCAGGCTGCTGCAGGCAGGATGTGGGAGAGGATCCCCAGCTAGTCCCAAGTCTGGGCCTCACCCTATTCTCCAACTACAACTCCCCTGAAACTTCCCAGTATCTGAGGGGCTCCTGGGTCCTCCTAGTCATCTTCAGGATCTTTCCAGTTTTCCCAGCTGCCTGTGGGATCCTCTTGGGTCTATCTGGTCACCTTGGTGTCCTGCTGAGGCTCTATCACCTCCTAGGTCCATCTGGTTACCTGTGAGTCCTCCCTGGTCCTCCTGCCCCTACCCCAGCTCCATGGGCAGGGCTCCTCTTCTTTATTTACCTAGTAAGTTGCCAGGTTTGGTGAGTGTGGGGACAGTGGGCAGGCCTAGGCTAGCATGGATGCCACCCATCTGAGTGGGGCCCTTCCCCTAGATTCAGTGGCTGACCTTGGTCAAAGCCCACACCCCTCAGCCCCCTACTGCTCACTGCTGGCTCTGCACTGCCCTGGCTCTGTTCTGCCTTTTTCCCAGCACACCTTGGTGTGGGGTGGTGCTGAGCTGTGGTCAGGCTGTTTCAGGAGGCTGAGTCAGATCCCACACTGAGATCTAAAGTTGCCCTAGCCCCACTTCCTCTCACTGGGGCTCTGATTGGTCACTGCAGGGGCTGGATGAGCACCTTGACTAAGCTGTCCAGGGAGCCACAGGGAGACAGGTCTGAGTGGGCAGGTGCCCAGGGAGGTGCCACCATGCCAAGGGGACAACCATGCCTGCTGTGGGCTCTGCTGGCATTCCCTAAGAGCCACTGGGACAGATCAGTTTTGGGCATCTCAGATCTCACCACTACTTGCAATTTGATAGTGATTAAAAGAGCAAGGCAAACAAAAGCCCCTCTATGCCCTGCCTCAATGCACCAAATTAATAATCATAGGATGACTTATGCGGGCCTCGGAGGAGAAGAAAGCAATTAGAATAACAGCTCATTGGAGGGCCCCAAGTGGCTGGGGATCAAACCCCAGGCAACAGGGCTCTTGTTTGATGTGGTTATGAATTTTTTTTCAAAAGAAAATCTTGAAAAAGAGTCTTTCAAGAGAATTTTTTGCAGAACCTGCTTAGCTTTGATCCCCGCCTGGGACCCCTGAAGGCCCTGGCCTTGTGGATGCCTCGGTCAGAACAGCCAGAGGTGGATAGGTGAGGCTTGGGATGCCAGGGTCTGGGCTTGAGGGGAGGGAGGCTTGTGAGTTCCTCTGGGAATAGCAGCTGTGGTCCTCCTGGGGTCCTTGTCCAAAGGCAGAGTAGGACAGGCCAGGGCAAGAGGAAAAGGCCACGTTGGCCCTCTTCCTGTCTGTCTTTAGGAAGGAACTGCTCTGGAGCCTTTCTCAGTATGGACAGCCAAGGGAATAGCAGTCTGAGGCCAGCTCTGGCACCCACATGGCCTGCAGGGAGTAGGGAGGAGGATTTGGGGGTTCAGGGAGGGGCAGGGAATACAGGAGCCTGGGCCCAGGACACTCTGCTCTGGTTGGGGTTACACAGGCATACCCACAGCTGGCACTTGTCCCATTCTGCTCCTGTACCTATGCACTGGGAAAGGAGGCCAGTGGAAAGCTGACCAGGGCTCCCCAAGACCCGGCTCACACCTTGGACCTGCCTGTACCCCTGTCCCTCCTGTATACCCCCAGCTCTCACTGATACACCCACCGCTCCTACCTAAGCCAGGTGGGCAAATACCTCCTCGATGCTGTCCAGCCTGGTGGGCTTCCATTTTGCACAGAAGTAAATGAGGCTTGGTGACAGGAAGAAGCCTATCCATGGCCACCAGGGACAGGGAGGGGCTCAGGCAGAAGTTGGGCACTGGTGAGGCAGCACTTATGAGCCTTCAGTAAGCACCCACAGTGTGCTTTCACACAGTGAGATTTAAAACACAAACAGATCACATCACTCTCCTATGGCCCGGAAGACACCTGAGTACTTCTTGTGCCACTCCCCCATTTTCCGCACGGCCTCTTCTTTTGT